TTCACTTTTGTGGAAGCTTAAACATTGGGCTAGACGATCACCTTCTATTCGAGGCTGCTTATGCCCTCATGCTATTGCTATAACTTCTACGTCATCTTCGTTCATTCGAGGTTGCCTCTACGGAGGAGTGCGCCTTAGCGTTAGTGGCAAGCATTCTCATTGGGTAGATCGTTCTCACCTAGGCGTCCTTGACCTCTTATGTCTGGACGTTTGAGATCTTTTTCTTTGGCTCGGCGATCTTCTTCTTTCATCAGCCTTGTTTCTATTGTGCGCCAGTGTGTCCAGGTGGCTTTCTAGATCTCCCAGCGCTAGGTATTTGAGACTAGCTTTGAATTCACAACACTCAGTTGCCCACCTAACATCACAGCCCGCCTGTTGGTTCCCTTATTGGGCTGGGCCTACTAACCTTCCTCCTTGGGCCTCAGGCCTGATTCCGCTCAACCACATGGGCCCATCACCACATAATTCAGATTTCTATGTAAGAAAGAAAACCTAGTTACATCGAGTGGCATGGTCTATAAAGAGGCCGAAGTACTTGAAACTAAGCCGAGAAGCCACTGGAGAGGGACCCTACAAATTAGTATGCACCAGCTCGAATGAATCTGAATACACAGTTTTGCTCGAAGGATGAGATATCTGGATCATTTTTGCTTCAATGCAACTAACACAAGGAGAAGAAGGAACATAGGTACGACAAAGATTGCTAGAGAGCAATTTATTGCGAAACATGGTATGTAATCAAGCCATCTTGGCATGACCCAAATGGCAATGCCACAATTCTCAATCTAAAGGTTAAAAGAGAAAACATCCAAATCCACAATAGGTGTGTTCAAACAAGAATATAAACTAGATTCATCACGAAAAAACTTCTTTTGTTCCCCATCTAGCGGTGGTTGTCGCAGCTCATTGAAGAAATCCAAGATAAACGTCTGTTCAGACTTCCATCCATTACCCACTGTCTTCCCGGTGCTCGAATCCTGCACAGACATCCACTTGAATCAAATATGACACGACAACCATTATAAGCTAACTAACCCATGTAAAGAAGATTAGGAACTAATCCAGGAACATAGAGAGTATCCTACAGTGTTAAATTGGGTTGTCGCACTATGCCAACAGCTCTAACGGGAAGGTGAGTGCCATTCGCCACCTGTAATTCAAGGGAGGGACTTGCACGAAGATGAAGAATCCAATTGTGCAAACTGGACATATGATTATACGCGGAAGAATCTAAATGCCAAGTAGCCATTTTACCTGAGGCATTATTCACCGAGAAAATAGAATGAAGAGTGTTTGGAAGGACTTTGTGAAGCATAGCTTGAATAAGTTGTTCCAATGCGTCAAATGTTAACGAAGCAGCAGCGGGGGCCGAGGAGGAAGGAGCCGACCCAAGAACACCAGTGGAGCTCGGAAGGGGTGGAGCGGCCGAGTGATATGTAGCGCCAGCAGGAGAGCCAAAAACTCTAAACCAGGGGACATTTGAACACCATACACCTGTGCAGCAGCTAGGGATGTCAATTCAACCCGTAACCATGGGTACCTTACCTTATCGTAACCGTTCAATGAGGGTAATTACCCGCTTTGACGGGTTCAGGGGCGAGTACGGATAATACCCGGTTTCAAAATAAAGGGTAGGGTACGGGTATGGTAATCGATAATACCCGTCCTGTTATACCCGCCCCGCTAACCAAAGGGTCAATTTCCCTAGCCCTAACCCAACCCAGCAGTCGATTTTCCTTGCCCACAGACTCTTCTTGAAACTTTACTTGCTTGGGATATTTACACAAAGGTATCTACGATTACCTTGGATAATTGTTCTACTAATGATGCCTTGATGGATGTCATGAAGCATAAGTTAAGCAGTGAGCATTTGATGTAGTCTGGTTCTAATATTGTCTTTGCTGTTTTTGTTTATGTGTGGATTGTTGAAGCTAGAACAAATATGATGTATTGTGTTTTTGTATGTATGGATTGTAGAAGAAAGAACAATTATTATGTGTTTTCTGATTTTATTTGTGTGGATTTTTGAAGCTAGAACAGTTATAAGTATTGAGAACTGTTAATGGACAACAGTATGTATGTGCATATATGTGTATAAGTTCATATTTTAGAATTTGTACCCATGGTTACCCGGTGGGTAGGGTATGGTTACATCATTTTCATACCCAGTGGTTATTTAGTCGGATATTTTAGGAGGCTCTACCCGGCTGGTTAGGAGTTGGTATAGGGCAAACCCGCACCCGACCCTACCTATTGCCATCCCTAGCAGCAGCAGGCAGGCGACTGCCACCCGATTTTCCACGACGTGCAAGTGAAGGGCAGTCAAGAACAATATGCCAGGAGGTTTTATAGTAATTCCAATAGTTCCAACGTTTACAATGAATCTGAACATGCCCATTTTCCCTGCAATAGTGACACTCAACATGGGGTGGGACAGACTTATGAAACTGTGGCTTACCGGAATGGTTGACAACAAAGACATTTTTAGGAGTAGACGAGGACCGATCTAGACGAGCTTGACTACGAAGACAAATTTCTTCGCGCAATAGCTCGGCCAACACATCATCCATACCTGTAACATTGCGATAGAGAAACTCGAATAGGTTCGAAGTCAGAACGCGAAAATGCATAAGACGGAGACGATGGTGTTCAGCCACCATGGCAGAGTGGTCTCACCTTTGTTTAGAGCAGCAGATAACATGTCCTCTTCAGTCCATAGATGCAACGAAAGCACGATCACGAACAAAGACACGAGATTTAACGTGGTTCGGCCTCTTAGAGACTTTACTCCACGGTGGTTAGCTTGTTGTTGCTAAGTTTCTTATTCATCTTCGGCTATAAACCCTAAACCTAGGTTATATAGCCAACCATGCACCACATCCTAACCACAAGACGTGTGCACAATTATAAATAAGCCACCACAGTTTCACATATATACAACATAGTCCCCAACAATAAATATATACATGTATATTTCATTAGTAACCATGGGAATTACAGAGCCTGGACAAAAGAGAGAGACAATAATTTGAGCCGATTAGTTGTGTGGGCCTGTATGGGTTATAAGATTTGGGGTGTTTGAATGACTGTTTTGTGGAACTTGTGGTATGCTTGAATATATTTGTGGTCTGTTTTGTGGGACTTGTGGTATACTTGAATAAACTTGTGCTATGCTTTATAAGACTTTAGGTATCTTTTGTGGGACTTGTAATAATGCATTATGATGTTTCTGGTATGCTTTCATTAACTTGTGAAGTAAATAAAAATAAATTAATATTAATCTTAGCTAGCAGTTAGACGGGTCACGCGAGCAAATGAAAATAAAAAAAGGATATAATGAGGTTTTCCTTGTGTCAACGGGATGGAAGCAAAGCTGGGCAATTAAGGCTTAGGATAGGGTCAGTAACCATTGGTTACTGACCTATGAGTAACTAAATCTGGACCTTTAGATTTAAGTGGGTCCACAAAATTCATATCTAAGGGTTGTCAATTAAGACATTTTATTTTTCCTAGTTTTCATAATCGATTCTTATCTTTTTCGTTTTAACTCGGATTTCAAAATTTTTTGCACACATGGAACGACTTCGTTGTGCTCTACAAAATGAGATCAATTTTCAATATATTTCGAGAAACTTTTTTTTTACCAACTACAAACCATATGGTAACTTCTTCGTTTTTAAGTCGTTTTTTAAGACGTTTGCTTAGAAAGAACGAGTTCATAATGATCTATTGGATCTACAAATTTCCGGGTGAAAAAAATACTGGACAAAAAATTACCATACTTTACCACTATGGTATGTGGGTGGTAACTTGTGGTAAACAATGATGAAAGTCGTAAATGACAGTTAGTATACTCCTACTATCATGTATTCAACCTTCTTACCATATTGGTATGTTCATACCATCATGGTACGCTTTCTTACCATATGGTATTAAATATGAGCATACCATATGATAATGGCTGGTAAAAAATTATTCAAATTTTTATACTAAAAATATATCAAAGTGAATATCATTTTAATGAGCACATTTAATCTGATTTATCTGTGAAAAAAATTTAATTTTGACTTAAAACGAGAGAGAAATCGTCCGTTTAAGATTAAAGGGGAAAAGATAAAAGGCTTTCCAGGAGAGAAGGGATGCTGATGTCATGCGGATGTAGACAAGTTACAGATGGTTACTCACCATAAAGGTTACTGAGCTGATCCGCTCCCGACAATTAAAATGACATAGAGGAGAGAAAATGAATGTAGGCAAGGCCTTAGTGCGCTCATATTAATTTTTTTAAAATGGCCAACGTGTCCCGACAAATTTTCAAAATATTAATAACTGTGGATATCCGCCCGAATCTGGACTAATTGGATAGGGTAACACCCGAACCCGAATGACTTTTAGTGGGTATAGGTAAAATCTGAACCCGAATATTGTGGGTAATGGGTGTGCATGGTTTTCTCACTATTCAACCCGAATATTGTGGGTAATGGGTAAATACAATATATTAGCCACAACTATTATGAAGCGGGGAATTATAGCCACAACTATGGAAATTCAAATTATTAGCCAAACGTTAACTATCTGTTAACAATTTCGTTAGTAATACTGACTAAACATTTATGTTTTAAAGTTATAAATTAAAAGCATTATGATGTGGCCGCTGTCGTGGCCGATGACGTGACCTTCTTCGTAAAAAATTCAATAACAGTAACGGACAGTTAGCCATATTTTGACCCACAATAATAGTTATGGCTAATAATTTGAATTTTCATAGTTGTGGCTATAATTCCCCGCTTCATAATAGTTGTGACTAATATATTGTATTTATCCTAAATAAAATAATGGAAATGCACTATCCGCTACCAGACCGACCCGTTGCGATCCACACATCCCTACCTTCCCGTTTATATAGTTCAAACTTTATGAAAATATAAAATCGAGTTCAATTTATTTGCTACTGAGAGTAAGCAAACTCACGTAAAGAATAAATAAATAGGATGGAAAGTCTGAGATCTCAAAGTTTCTTAACTAGTGTCCCCCTAACGGTAACATTTAACTTGGTCACAAGTAGAACAATCATCCCCCTAACAATGAAAGGTCTAATTGTATCTTTGTGACCCGCAGCTCGAAGTTAATTACAAGAAAATCCTACTCGAACCGAGGAAAATGAATCAAAGCAACCAATTAATTAGTAAGAATATTGAGAAGCGAAGCCCTGGTTTGAATCAACCGCCGGAACATGCACTCCAGCTCACTCTCCAGCTCCTCAATCGCAATCTCCACCGCCTCCAACCTCTTGTTCGCCGTCTGAAGCGCCGTCTCGTCGCAGAAATCCCCCACCCTCCTCTTACGACGCCGCATCATCATCCTACCCACAAACGACACCATTTTACCCCTCCGATCATCATCCAGCCACGGGATCGAGATCAAGCTCAGCAGCGACTCCACGATGGAAACAGAGCTCCCCCTCACCTCCCCCAGCACCTCCGCCACCACCGCCAGATCCCGCCCGCCGTCGGCTTTATCCACCGACAGCTGATGATGATGCTTGCTCTCCTTCATCGTCCCTCTCAGCGACTTGAGGCACTTCATCGTCTCCTTACGAAGCTTCTTCCTGCAGTCGTTGTAAGCCAGGATTTTGGATTTGACGTCGTTTCGTGGCGATCCCCGGCCGCGTAGAGTGAATTGGAGGTCGAGGAGGTGCTCTTTCACTAGGGAGAGAACGTCCTTCGAGACTCCGCACACGTCGAGCATGCGGAGGGAGGCCTCCGAGGCTTGGTACAGCCATTTGGACTCGTGGGTCTTTCGGCCGCCGAGCTCCCGGGAGTCGAGGAGGTCGTTCGCCGAGTTGTGCAGGTCTCGGAGAGCTGTGAAGTTAGGGAGCGCCATTTGTTGGTAACCCCTTTTTCGTTAATCTTTACCTTTTTTTTTTTCTCAGAGGAATTTTATCGAACACTTGGTGTTCGTTAAGGAAAGCAGAAGTTTTGATGGTATAAGAAGCGGAAGGGAGGAAACCCTTTACACCGTAGTCTGAGGGGAATATCGTCGAACAGATGATGTGCGAAGAGAAGACGAAAGGTTTTCAGTGACTTTTTATCTCGTTAGGGGAATTTGATCGAACAGGTAGTGTGCGTTGAGAAGCTGGAAGTGGAAGGTAGTCAATTCTGTCACCGGGCTAGGGTAGCTAGTGGGTTGATTTTATAACGGGAAGCAGCTTTATCCGGTGTGGAAGTCAATCGTGGGGGTACCGAGGAAACGACAATCTGGGGAAATGGTGTATACAATAATAATACATAAATTAGCTAGTGTACGGATACATGGAAAAGGGTTTGTCCCAAGGAAGGTTCGAAATGCGGTAACGAGTCTTAATTAATGAGTAACGACGACAACAAGTGTGGGGGGTTTTGATTATTGAAGTGGTTAAAGATAGAGCTGTTGGGCTGGGTTGGTTCTGTGTGGGGTGACTTTCTTTCAGGTTGATGATAATTGTATAGGTCATGTTCATGCACGCCAAGGGAGGGCAAGAGGAAGGTGCACGCCAAATTGCCAATCCATGTGTGTCAAATGATGTCTTGTCTTAATTTGATCGATCTGTATCGAATTGATAACTGATAAGTCGTTTCTTATCGATTGTTGTTTGAAGATCTCGAAATTAATATATGCTATGTTTTCACGTCATTAGCAATAATATTTGGAGTTCATAATTAATTGTCCAATCTCGAGAGGTGTGAATTTGAATTCTATTACATATCCCTTTGGAGACATTCGAATAGAAGTGAAACTTCAATTTTATGACTTGAAAATAAATTGACTACAGGTGCTTTGGTTAAGTGTAATTTGAAACAATAGGTATGTGATGCTATAAAACTCTTATTAACTTGAAATGACAATACTATTCTACTTTACATATGTCTTCTTCTTTGGTTCGAGTTTTTCCTGTTACTTTTTCCCCTCTCTTTTTGCATGGTAAAGGAAACCGTACAGGAAGTCATACCGGATCTGTCAGTGGTAGGGTATTTTGTGATACTACCATGGTTCAATCGTTGTGTACCGGCAAAATATCGTTTTTGTAATTAAAAAATATTTTTTTCTTAAAAAACCGTACAGGCAGATTCAGAATACCGTTTACCAGAATATACCGGATAACAAACCTGAATAAACTAAATAGGCATATTAATATAACAATCAACATACTACAACATTACTGAATTAACTACATAATCGTTCAAATGCATGTTTACGATCGAGTACAAAACAACCAAACCATTCAAAAAAATGTAAGTTTTATGAAACATACCTGCTTCCGTGTTATTCTTGAGCAGGGGAGGGAGACGCGTGGCGGAGTAGCGGTGGAGCTAGGGTTGGGAAAATAGACCAGACCGTTAGAAAAACCGTGGTCCAAACCGTACCGCACAGTTTGGTCTGGACCGTAGACTGTTAAGTATGGTCTGGTCTGGTCCATGGTTTAGTTTATTTTATGTTTTGATCTCTTGGTCTGGTCTGGTTTAGACCGCGGTTTACCGGACCAAACCGTGGACCCAACCGACTTGTCAATACGTGTTAATAGCCCATTCGATTACCCTCACAACTCACACAACGACACCCAAATCTCAACCTTAATTTTGAGAATCTCGTCCCTCCTTCGTTAACAACCACATTTAACCAGAGAGTAGAGATAATCGTGTCTCCATATGACATTATGTTAATGTTTATAACGTTATGGTGCAAGTTTGTATGCTTTTACTTTGTATTTTTGTTATTTCTAAGATTTAGGATATCAAAATTATTCATGCATGTTAGGATTAATGTTTTAAGGCAAATAACAATTATTTTTCTTGGTTATTGGTTCAATTTTTTGTGTGGTTGACTAAACAAATTATTCATTTTTCTTTGAGTATGGTCTATCTGGACCAGACTAGACCAAACCAGACCGCACAGGTGTGGTCTGGACCGGACCGTATAGTCTGTGGTCTATACTTCAGCCTCTCGGTCTGGACCATAGACCGTATATATGGTCTGGTCTGGACCAGACCGCACCGTTTCCCAGCCCTAGGTGGAGCAGCGGCGGAGTAGAGGCGGAGCAATGTGGAACAACCGCAGAGAAGCGCGGAGCAACCGCGGAGCAGCCGCTGTCTTGGTCGCCGGTCGAGAAGAGGAGGATCGTCGCGGTCCTGGTCGCCGTTCGCCGGTCGAGAAGAGGAGGATCGCCGCAGTCCTGGTCGCCTGGTCGCTAGCAGCAGTAAACGAAAAACCAAGACTGCGCTTAGTCCCTGATGATTTAGGGTTTTGAGGCTTCGGTCGACTTTTTTTTTTTCCTAATGCCAAAACGACGTCGTGTCCTTCCCATCAGCTTACCCCCGGTTAGACCAAAATAGGACGGTTTTTTTAATTTTACCGGTTTCTTTAACTACAAAACAGCTACTGTATCAGCCAGACGATGGTTTTCGATTTTACCGGTTCAACCGGCTGGTACGATCCGGTTTCCTTTACCATGCTTTTTTGATAGGTTTCTATACTACTGGTTGAGCTGTTGCCTTTTTGTTCTCTCCTCTAGTTTTGTCTCATTTTTATTGGGGGTGCTCCTTTTTCTTCTTTCCGTTGTTGTTGTTCATTGTTTGTGGCTTTTTTATTGGATTAGCTGGTGTTCTAATAAAAGTCTTATCACTCATAAAAAAAACAATACTATTCATAAAAAAAACATCCAGTAGGCTGGTCTCAATTTCCATGAACAAGATCCTATATTTCAGTTTAATCCAGTGCGGGTACTACAGGTCCATCGATTGCAGATATCAAACCGATTAAATAAAAAAGCCTAATCGAAATTCCAGCTAAGCTTGCCGGTGGGTTGAAAACGTACGTACGTACTGGTCAAGACAAAAAAGTACAACTGTGTAGATTGAAGCTGCGCTGTTTCTCTGTTTTTTGTGTGGACAAAACATGCATGCAGATGCAGTGCCGGAAAGGAGATCTGCTTCTTTAGATCCCCACTTAATTAGATCACTGACCACGCACGCTTTGAGTTTGAAGACGGAAGAGGAAGCTGATAAGGAAGGAAGACGGTTAGGAAAGCTCCTGGATGTTTCGAGTTGGGCCCACTTCCGTGACTTTTGGGCTCTGTATGATGGCTCATCCGGTAGGGCAAAGATATTGGGCCCAACTCACCGAATTTAAATACAGTCATTTAGTCCAATTAATTACATATTATGTGTGTGTGGGCCAAGGGGAAGTCGGTTTGATAACATTATCAAGTCTTGTTCGGTTTGTTTTTTCCCCTCCATTTGTGTCAAAGCTACTCAGAGACGAGTGAGAGAGGTCAGGTCAATAACAATAAGGGTCGCCTTCTTTCTTTTGGAATGGAATTTCGTTTGTCAAGGGTAGGGTAAGACTTAAGAGTAAGACATTCTATCCGGAATAAAGTATATTCCTACACTTAATTTAACCGGTAAGAGTAACAATCAATAGTATATTATTTGTCGGCAATATCGATAATATGAAATATTAATGCTTTTGTTTCTCTCTTAACTTAACATTATAGAGATCTTCAAATAAACGTGGAGTGTTATTTACGTATTGAGAATAAGACGCTAATTACTATGTAGGATCCTTTAATATGTATATTATATTTGCGTCGTGTTTATCGACATGTCATACCTACTTCTTCTAATTTATATTAGTAAGAAACAAATGGCGCCCACATAGTCTAGTACCATTAAAAAAAAAACTCAACATGCTTCATCTGGAAACAACTTCCTTGTCAATAAGGTTATACGATCCAACATTTTGAAGTGGTGCTAGCTAGAGAAGGTATTTAATTATTTACGATTGGCGACCGCTTCTATATAATAGCTAGGGTTTATATATATCTAGCCTACGTATGAAAGCGTTTGGTGGATGGGAATGTTTGCCCACTCCCGAAGTAACATAGATGTTGATGGAAAATTATGGCTTCGTCTGCAAGAATGGTGATGCAAAAGCCAAAAAGGTTATGTAAATGAACATACATGAGTATCGATTTCAGAGAGGATCGTGCATATAAATTCCCCTAATATACCGAATCGTTATTCGTCGTCCTAAATTTTAAAAACTTTCGCTCTAAATTGTACTAGACTGACCCTTTTATCACTATATTTAATTTGTAACGAAACTTAAGCAAATCCTCACCCCAACCCTACCCTCGCCTTTCGCCGGCCGCTGCCCACCTCTTCCGCTCCGACCAATCCATCCCCGATCAATTACCCACCCCGAACCAAAATCTGGCCACCTACCTCGTTGTCGATGCGTGTATGTTGCCGGTGTCAAATCAAAGCAAAGAACGAAGACACAATGTTTAACGTGGTTTCCTTGATCAATAGGACTAGTCCACGGGAGAACCAAAACTCTCCAAGCCAATGATATTAGCTTCGCTAGTTAGGTTTACACGATTACACTTACATATATATAGAGAGAGTTCATAACCCTAACTAAGGCATATTTACAAAATGGTACTTACAATTTTAACACCCTCCCTCAATTTGATGTTGGGTACGCAACACCAATTTGCCTTATAAGTACCAATGTCTGCTAGATCCCAATGCCTTAGTAAGGATGTCATATGTTTGATCTTCTGTGGCTAGATGATGCAACTTGATTCGTCCTTCCGCCACCAGCTGTCTAATGTAGTAAACGTGAACCTCTATATGTTTTGTCCGATCATGTAAGACTGGATTCAATGCTATCTGGAGTGCACTCGTGTTGTCACCATACAGTACCATCGAGCGCTCGCACTGAACCCCCAATTCCTCCACCAGTCTGTGTAACCAAATTAACTCAGAGCTAACCTCATACATAGATCTGTACTCTGCTTTTGTCAACGACTTGGAGACTCGATCTTGTTTCTTACACCTCCATGAGACAAATGACTGACCAATTCACACATACCAGCCAGAAGTCGATCGTCGTGTGTCCTGACAACCGGCATAGTCTGCATCTGCAAATTCCTCGATCTTCACCTCACCTCCCGTGGGAAAGTAAAGGCCGACATCTTGAGTGTGCTTAAGATACCGTAGGATTCTATACACGACATCCAAGTGTTGTCCTCGTGCTACACCCATATACTGGCTCACAACCTGTACTGCATAGGCAATGTCAGGTCTGGTATGCGTGAGATAGATTAGACTGCCAACTAAGCCGCGATAT